GGCAAAAAAAATTGCCAAAAATTCCAAAAGGGTACATCAATTTTTTTTAAACCAAAAGGGTAAAATCGCTCGTGACGGGGCATTTCCTTCTGACAAAATTGACGCCGTTACTGTTAAAAAACATAAAAATCACTGCCCCAACATCGATTTTGTCAAAAAAATACTAATTTAACATCGCTGCCCCTGCAACGTTTTTCTCAAAAAATAAAACTTGGCGATTTTCTTTAAAAAGTTAAATTTTTTTGTACAAAAATCGCTTGCAAGGTAGCGATTTCATTAAAAAAAAATTGCATTTTAAATATATTGCTGCTTTGAAGAAAGTAGTGATTTAAAAAAAAACAGTAATTTTTTTTTAAGGAAATCGCTACTTGGCAAGCGATTTTTAATAAAAAAAATTTAAAAAACTTTTTAAAGAAAATCGCTGCTATAGCAGCTATTTCAATTTTTTTTAAAATAAAATTTTATTTTGAGAAATGCTGCTGGGGCAACGTTGTTAAAAAACAAAATTCACAAAATCGCTGCCACAACAACGATTTTAAAGAAAAAAGAAAAAAATTGGATGAAATCACTGCTGGGGCAGCGATTTTTGTATTTTTTAACGGAGTAACGGCGTCAATTTTGTCAGAAGAATTGATGTGCCCTTTTAGTTAAAAAAAAAATTGATGTGCCCTTTTGGCTTCGGACTCTTAAATAACATGTCTCTTCAACTTATTCTTATAGATTATCAAATCTATAAATTACAATCATCTATGGAGATGTTGAATAATTATTTTTCATTTTTCTGGTTCTTTCTTTCTATCAGTGTAGTTTTTTTCTCATTCTTTCTTTTTAATAGTGTAGTGTTTTTTCTCTTTTAAAAAAAATAAAAATTATTCTTCATCTTTTCCATAAGAAATCACAGAAAAGATGGTGACATGATATGTTCTTCACTATGATGAAAATCAAAGATATATTCTTCAAAGATTCATGATAAAGAGATGTTCACATTAATTTAGTACAAGATCATCAAAATGTAGAAGGAAGTTTACTTATGTTGAAAGATTCATCAAGAGAGATGATCATATTAGTATAAAGTTTGAATGCTTCCAATATTTTAAGATTCATTAATGTATTGTTTTGATTTCAATATTCTAAAATTTTGTCATGCTTGAAAGTATACTATCTATGATACATTTCTTTTAGCTATTGCATATTGTTGTACTTAAAAATTTCATAGAGAAATGAAGTTGCACCTCTCTTTGGCCAAAGATTCTAGTTATCTTTTTTCCACAATTTTTCATATTTTTCTATTTACTTATTATTGTACAAAAAATAAATATATCAACTACTACTCCTCTATTTATTGTTATACTTAAATGTCTGAAAAATTATTTACACTCATTATTATTCTTTGTTACAAAAAATTAAAAGTCTCAATATTTACTACTTTAATATTTCAAGATATTTATCTATTTTTTTATTGTATTTTTTTTCCTCTTTCACTTTTGTTAAACATAATGGAGTAGTACAAAAAGAGAAGAAGTTGATTTGCTTGCTTTCCTAATAAAACTTAAACACCCAACAAATGTTGAATAGTTCATGATTTTTTTTTTATCTTCATTATTTTATTTTTTCCTTCTTATATTTATTTTAAAATTCTTATCTCCATAACTTATACCTAATTGAACTTTTACTTTAATTAATATTATTAACTCTTTTTCTTTAAATTTTTATATTCATAACCCCCAAAGATACCTTATGATATTAATTTCTTCAATTTTGTCTAAATAAATTCATTTTTTTTTTCATTAGATTCCTACTCAAGATTATTATTTTTATTCCATATTTGAAATAGTGGTATTCTATATTATTGTTATAGTATCAGATTTATACTTTAGTTTGACTCCATGAAAAGGTTCTTGGATATGGATAGAAGGGGTGCCTAATAAAAGCTCAAAAATAATTGCATTGATTATATGATTATTTATCATCTTTGTTTTTGTGATTAAGGACTTGACAAAATTGTGTTGTTATTTTTCTCTTTGTACTTACTTTTTCATATGTTCTCTCTATATATTTTTTAAAATTTAGGTTCTTATAATTTTTTTAATTTTACTAAATTACACTTTCCTTTAGGCTCAAATTAGTTATTTGTAACTTTGTTAGAACACAACTAACTACACTAATAGACGTTTAAATTTTATTACTCACGGCTCAAAAAAATGCATATTAAGTATTGAAATACAGAATTATTAGGTATTTCTTATGGTGAAAAACCATTTAAATTTGTTCATTTCTTCTACTTCTAATGAATCACCATAATAATATAAGATATATACGAAAAATTAGCAATAGAGGTTTATTTAGATGATAATGAAAAATAGAGAATAATAATTATTTAGACGATGATAATAAGAGAAAAAACAAGGACAAAGAAAGGATTAAATATCGAAGAAGAAATGAAATAGAAATATTTATCTCTATTTCCTCCTATTTTTAGTTTCATCATTTATTTTTCCGAACTAAAGGAAGATTCATTGGATAGTAAATTTATCATTTGACAAAAATAAGAAAAAAAAAATCAAGTCCTTAATTATGTTTATCCAAATTTTATGTATTAACATCATAATATATGATTTTTTTCTTAATAAATTAGTCTTTTATTTTTAAAAAACATTCGATAATAAAAATGTAATTCACTTAAGTTCTAATTCTACAAAAAAATTTGTATTGTGATTTTATCATTTTTTTTATTTCTATAATTAATTTTTTATTTTTTGTATCATAATTATTTTTTAAAAAAATTTACATATATATTTCATAACACTCATCTCCCATGTGGTTTACGATATTACTTCTACCTCCATTATTTTCATTTTCTTGTAGCCATTCTTTAAACTTATTTAAAATAAATATAAATTAATTTTTTATATATATATATATAATAGTATTAATGTATTTGTGCTGATTTACTTTTTAAAGTATTTGTTAAATGAGTTTTTTTTTATATAATATATATTACTATGAAGAAATTAATATAAAAATGGGTAAAAATAATCTCTCTCTCTATATATATATATACCTGTGTTTTTTTATCAAACAAAGATCAAAGTTTTCATTCAAGCTGACCCTACATTTTCACCAAATATTAACTCTTCATCTTCATTTCACCAAATATTAACTCTTCATCTTCATTTCACCTTTACCAATTCACTGATGATTTTTCCCCACAATAACCCATCATTTTCTGGCAACAATTTCTTCAAATCGAAGATAACTCCAAGAGAGAAATCCGATAAGAACGATCGAATTTTGTTATAGATAAACATTTCCACAAGCTAAGAAGAAAAACGATCCAAGAAATAGAGATAAATCGTTGAAAATTAGATCTAAGCTTGCATGAGTGGTCAATAATGGAGGAAGCTGTTAGTTTCTCAAAGCAATTGAATTTGTAATTTCTGAAGTGACGACATAATCGTTGATTGCAGCAGTGATGATATGAGATTTGGAGAAGAATACCTAATTTGCTTGCTTTTGCAGGGAAGATGGCTGAAAATTTGAACAAGACTGATAAAGTGGAAGTTTGAAAGAAGAGAACTTTTAATTCTTAAGAAAATTTATTTGCGCTGATTTATTTTTAAAGTATTTGTTAAATGAGTATTTTTTATATAATATTTATTAATATGAAAAAATTAATACATAGAAGGGTAAAAATATCAAATCTAAATTAATTTATATTTATTTTAAATAGGTTTAAAGAATGGTTACAAGAAAATGAAAATAAGGGAGGTAGACGTAATCTCGTAAACCACAGGAGAGGTGAGTGTTATAGAACGAAACCTGGAGGGAGGTCTCTGAAATTATTTAGGTGACTTAAATGATAATGACAGATAATCTATCTATCTTTCTGAATAATTCGAGTGAAAAGAAAGGTCATGTGATACTCTTTATGACTAGAAAGTCATTTACCCTTTTTCTTTCAAACTTATATCTATTTAAGTCATATTTTTCATTCATTAATTCCCACGAGCTAGTTGTGGGTAAATTTATCAACGAGTTCCTGTCAAATTTATGTTGATCAATGATTTCCAACAGCATTTCCCACTTACAACAGTTGGAAAAAAAAGTACAATATGTAGAACTAAAGTCACATTACAAAAAAAGTATCTGCGTTATCGATGCCTTAAACCCTTATCGAGCGAACAATCTATCGCTACAGCCTACATGGTACAGTAGATATCGAATTATCATATAAATCAAAAAATTTAATATTATTTTGGTGTTATGATATTGGTGTGGTACATATATATTTTTTTATAAAAAAATGGTATTTGATACTATACTCAGGTTTTATAAAAAAAAAAATACTTAATATTAAATATAAATACGGTATGCAATATATAGTTACATATATTGTTTTAATACTAACAAATATACAAATTAATATGAATACAAAACTAAATGTTTAGACATACAGAATTTCGGCACTACTCTATCTTGATTGAAATATTTTTTATTTGCTCAATTAATAAGAAAGACGCTTGTACTTTCTTTTGAATATATGCATTTTTACATGTGTAAAATGTTTATATAATATAATTGAGATGCTTATCATTAATGGTTAAACACCCTAAAAAAAATGAGTTAACAGAACCAATCCGTAAATTTGCTGGGACATTATTTATCAATCTGGTCCCTAAACATCCATCAGTCAGCTTGGGTAGTTGAGGCAGTTAATGAAAAAGCCCACCAATGAGGATTGTGATGCAATGATAAGATTACTCCACTCTTAACCAAACGTCTCCGATTCAAGCCCCGAGTAGGGAGAAAATTCTATTGGGAGCACTACAGCGCGATCAGAATTTAAATTTAGTTGGGGCTCCAATGCAGGCTCTGAACACCGGAGGAAAAACCCAAAAAAAATAAAATTGAACATACCAAAATAGAAAAAAATAAACAAGACCTGCTAGCATTTTGTGATAAAATTAATTAAGCATCATATTTACGAAGACAGATAACTATTAGATGAAAACCAGATGGCTTTGATCATACAAAATTGCTACTATATCAATGATACATCATTACAAAGAATAGAGTGTAACTGATTCTGGCCTAAACATAAAATATAGCATCTTCACTCAGGAATATGGTTTAATCAATTGGGTGCTTATTATCGGCCTTTCGAGCTGTATAGTGTGCAGAGAGCAAAAGCAGAGATAAGAAAGCACTGGCTACGAATATTGCATCAAACCACCTGTGATAGAAATCGAATTGTATGTCTCCACCTAATACATCCGTGATGATTATCCTGCCAACATTAATCGGGTTAGAGTATAGTGTAGAATGTTTTTCTCGATATCAGATCATGTATCAAAATCAACTAAGTTACTAGCTAGCTTAATAGCATTTTCCCATGTTCGCAAAATGGTGAGTTCCAAAGTTATAGCCATTATTACATACACCAAATATTCAAGTTTCTTTCTTGCCAACAACTCGTTAAGTGGAAATAGGCCGTGAATAGTTTAAAGTGCAGAACATTACAAAGCAAGTGATCTAGTAACAAATATTGAGAATAGAGAGCTCATTAGTTGTAACCATACCGATATTCAGTTGCCAGACTCTTTCTGATCAAAAGAATGGAGGAAAGGAAGTACATTCCCATGATTTCAGAGAGAAAAAGCACAACATTACTTGATGATCCACTTCCAACTCTGGAAACTGCGAAAAAGAACTGGACACAACCAAAATACTTCAAGTTAGCTGCAGGATAATTGAGTAAATAAAAAGTTGGTTGTTCATTTTTCAAACAGTTTAAAGGATGTCAAGTAATTTCCTTGCTTCTATCTGTGAGGGTACATGTGCAACAAATTGGCGAGTTTAATCATCAAAATTTATCACCTACTTTGATTTCACATCTGTGTTAAACCTTAACGAATTGAAATTAAAATTGTTACCTAAAAGCAACTGATATAGTAACACAGTCAACAAGTTGAACAGATGTTACCTAATACATAAACCATAAATTGTGGCATACATCAAACTTGAAGATGGGACCATGAAGCATAAATTTACCTTCATCAAGTTAGTCAGGAAGCCCCTCACAGACACCACAATCAACACCCCGATGAACATGAGAGAAATGTACTGCACAACGGAGAAATGGTCAGATAACTCATGTCCAGAAAATGCAAGACGAAATACTAGCAGAAAGAATAAAGTAATACAAGATATAGCCCCAGTACGAGCTCCTAAAGCTTACAATGTCACTCATAGAACAGTCACCCCTTATACAAGATAGCATTGTTCCCTGTTATGTGAAATAATTAATTTCACTCAGGTGGTAAATATTACCTCGACTTGATGTTAATAACAGTATAATGTTAAAGATTATCCTCTTGTCGATGAGATTTATTTTAGATGCCATACTTTGTTTTAATTCGTATAAACTTTTAATGAGCTTACTTATCCATTATCACACCAAAAAAAGGGGGAAATTGCTATTGTGTTGAATTAGCTTCTCAGCTTTCACTTTTTCAAACACAATAATGTAGATCTAGTTTCCCTTCAGTGATTTTTCTACATATAAATACAAACCACCTTCTTCAAGCACTTCCATTTTCTACCCAATTACTTCCAATTTCATGCAAGTGTTCTAGAAGCTAGCTTCTCAATCGAAACTCATTGTTGAACGTTCATCACCAAAATGTATTACCGGAAGCAATAGCTTCATTCAAATGATAGGCTAACCATTTAAGAAGCACCAATTACTTCCAATTTCATGCAAGTGTTCTAGAAGCTAGCTTCTCAATCGAAACTCATTTCTGAACGTTCATCACCAAAATGTATTACCGGAAGCAATAGCTTCATTCAAATGATAGGCTAACCATTTAAGAAGCACCATAACCATTGTAAAGATATGGCACCTGGGCCTAACTCAACCCCAAAAGCTAGCTCATGAGGGGAGGTTTGTCCAAGTCCATATAAGGAGACCAATTTCCCATCCCACAACCGATGTGGGACTTCTTAACACTCCCCCGCACACCCAGACCTCAACTGGAGAGTGAACATTTCTAAATGGGGGTCCACCATCCGTGACAACAACTTGGGATTGGCCGGCTCTGATACCATGTAAAGATATGACACCTGAGTCTAACTCAACCCCAAAAGCTAACTCATGACGGGAGGTTTGTCCAAGTCCATATAAGGAGACCAATTTCCCATCCCTCTACCAATGTGGACTTCTTAACAACCATGAATACCATGAGTAGACGAAATAATGCAGAGAGTAGAGGAACCTGTGATAATAAGTTGACATCAATTCCTATGTCAAAGAACTGTAAAAATATGCTGATTGTCCTTGTTACAGGATCTACAGAACCAGCCTGTCAAAAACAGTATGCTTGTGTCAAACTTTATCCAATATACGCTTGGTATGCAGGATTCAGCTATAAATTATGTAAAGAAAAGTGAACCATTAAGCATATGGAATTCTAATATAGAAGTGTACCTCCTTGAAAACAACGCTCTGAAGAGACTGCAAATATTAAATGGTCAATTAGCTGTCTGGATCAAATACTATTATATTAAAAGGCAGAACTTGGAAGGGGTGAAAGCAACAAAAAAGAAGACCTATGTACAGTGCAGTAAAATCCTCAACATGAACAAACTTTGTAGTATCCATGTCAAAGTATTAATTATGATATAGAGATGAAAGACCACAAAAGTTTCTCACTAGTGTCTATCAATATTAAACATCAATCAATTTTCCTGCTAACATTGATGTTGGCATGTCATATGAAGAGGAAAATAGTAGACACCATGTGAGAGATGCTCAAATTTAACAAATTTAACGTCTTTTTCATACCTTTATCATTTTATACACACAATAGACAGAACACACATAGCCCAAAAGATTCTGCAAATGACCCTTCCATGTTCGAGAATAAGCAGCAGCTTCCTGGTGTGATGGACAAATTGAGTCAGCTAAACACACAGAAAGTAGTTTCAAACCAATTGAACTGAATAAATTCAAAGAAGTAATTACACTACAAGCTGAACTAGATGATGGACCACAACATTATATGAGCTTGCAGACAACAACAACATACCCAGTGAAATCCCACAAATGGGGTCTGGGGAGGGCAGAGTGTACGCAAACCTTACCACTACCTAGTGAAGGTAGAGAGGTTATTTCCGAAAGACCCTCGGCTCAAGAACAGCAAATCCAAGTAAAATGAAAACAATGGAAAAACTATAAAATAAAGGAATATTTTTCTGCTATCTTAAGGTAAAAACAATGAAAAAACTATAAAATAGCAACATAAAGACTTGAATTCAGGGAAGCTGAACACACACACACACATATATATATAGAGGGACTACCTTATTGAGTAAGAGATTAGCAAATACAGCAGACAGCCCCTCTCTCCCAAACCCTTCAACTAGGAAATCTCACAAACAACAGCCAAAGAAAAAAAATTGCCCAGACCTATTTGATTAAAAGGAATGTTTCTACACTCTTTCCAACAATTCAAACTAATATAAGTCCTTATTGGTATGGATCAAAAAAAGTAAACTTGTTTGTTGGTCAATTCAAGTTAATATAACTTGATACTACTACTTTTCTTTCCTTTTGAGAAGGTAACTTGATTCTATTTCTCATTGTTTCAAATATTGATGTTATATATACAGCATAACTACTAAAAATTTTCACACTCTAAACTGTAGTTTAAACCTCCTACTAAATCAGAATGATAATTTTGTTCAGACTTCACTCTCTTAAAAATCACATTGGTCATACTAGGTCATTTTTTAGCGAGATGGACGGGTAAAAAATATTGCAACATAAAACAAAGTTCAATATGAACCTTAGCTTGGCGAAGCTCATAAATTTCCAAGAACAACTGCTTTGATAGCTCCTCTAAGGCCTGAACCTCGTTTTCCATGTTTCTAATATCTTCATGCATGAAGTGAATTCAACACCAAAGAGAAGTGTGTCAGAGAATTGTTAGAAGTAATGCAAATATCATGTACAGAAATTAACTACAATCAGCACATGTAGGAGAAATAAAAGAAAAAAAAATCTTGTACACAGAGGCATATATGCACTTGAATCAATAAATTTTCCACGAGAGACGTTCTACCATGCACTAACCTTGTTCCTTTTGGTCATCCTGAACAGATCGTACAACTGTTCCCACAATGCGCTTAAAGAAGGAACTGGATTTTGTTTTCTGCAGCAGAACCATATTAAAGAACACACTTAAAATAAAATATATAAAGAAACTGCAAATGTTCAGAACCACAAAAGGACACCTTGCCTTTTCATTCTTTTATTATCTCTTGACAATAGCAGCTGACGCGAAAATTGAGCTATTGACTCGCGCAAACATTAGCTAAACCTTTCTTTAAATACAGGAAGTCGCAATACAACTCCAGCAAGAAATTAAGTTATGGTTTCTAAAGCAAAGTTAAAAGATTTTTCATCAATATCTTTACAAAATTTTGCTATTGATCTAGAAAAGGGCATCAGAGGGATACTCAAGAAATTGCTTCATGCATGAAATACTTACAAACTCTTACAACACCCACAACTGTAGCTAATTGACCACTATTTCGAAGTGTGATTGCAATGTTATTAATGGCTATTCCCAAGGTCAAATGGGTTGAACCACTTGAATGAATATACAGTAGTACTATACCCAACTCTGGATATTTTCAGGAACCGCATAACTTCAAACGAGGATAGGATAAGGGAAATATAAAGGCATAATAAAGGGTCTTAATAACGTACCCCAATAGCCCATTTAGAACTGATCTATCATCAATGACTTTGCACTGGTATGAAAAAGAAGAAAAGTACAGGCCACCTACAAACAATAATCTGTGTTTCTTTCCATGCTTTTTGGGGTGTGTGTACACATAATGAAAGCATACAAAAGCAAAAAACTTAAGTTGACCAATTAACCTCTTCCGAAACTTGGATCCTCTCCATTTCTCTCTGACAAAGAATAATTCTCTTTTTCTTTGTAATACAAGTTTCAATTGACTGCATCAGCTGCCTCTCCAGTCCTTTGATCTCTGATTCCTCTATTTCTCTTCAATACAGAAAGAGTCAGGATACCAAAAAACCAAACATGATTACTTATAAATATAATATCTTTCCTTTTGCTATATGCTTCAGTTTAACATATATTTGACTAAATACTAGGGGCATTAACTTCAAATTGGGTAAAAACTACTCTAAGTAAGGGTATAGTAGGTTGTAGACAAAAGCAAAAGGTTATTAACCAAAGCTATCTTTATTAAAAATAACAGCAACTCCATTGAACTAAGGAGGTTTAAGAAAGGAATGTACTGTAGAATTCACAATCAGATCTAGTTTCGTGCCATCTCCAAGAAGATAAACTAGAAACCAACTGAGTTAACACTCACATGCACCAACTTAAAGTGGATCTTATGCACACATCTTACCTGATGAATAGAGATAGATAACTGTATGGCAAATTGACTGCTCCAAAACCAGAAAGGATAGCCATGACAGTCACGCCAATCACACCAATCCTGCTAACCAGCTGAGTTATGGTGAAAAATCCTGAAAAAAGAATGTAGAAACATCATTACATGGCAGGAGACTGGGGATACAAAGATGACAAGAGTCTCTGAGGAAAAATTACAAAAATACTTGGGCTAAATTATTTACTCATCCACTTTAAGTAACTTAAGTGGACCTCCCACGTAGTCTAATGTGTCATTATAGGCCCTCACTGTTAAACTCTGACATCCCCTCGCATGCCTAGGAGTAGACATTCATAGCATGGACAACATAACACGGGAGCACAAATTGCATAAACCAAGAATAGGGTTCGATCTCGCTTCTAATATTATATTTTAAAATGCAAATTGGACCCAACTCAAACCCGGAATGAGGTGGAAATTGTCCAAAAACATAGAAGGAGGCTACCACTCATACCTTGAACTAGTATGGGACTCTAATAATACCCTTAAACAATTATTCAATTTTATACTATATCATTTTTAATTATCTTAATTAATTTTTACAAATCATTACTGCTTCATCCATCAGGTAGAGATGCTTTAAGTTAGCAGGCAAACACTATGCCGGCTAAGATAGAGCTGAAAAGATCCTGAGTTTAGTCCTGTTCCGTAACAAAGATGTTCAAAAGAGAAAACTTGAATAAAAAGATGGTCGGGGAGAGTAGCTTTCTTTCTTCACACAAATATTTGAAATTACAGTAAAAATATTAAGGAAAACTTCTGGTCCCTTATAGTCATGTCATTACGATGTCTTATTCATAAAGGCATGGCCTAAAGAACATTATTTCAATATTCAAAAAATCAACAAGGAGGGTGGAAATCAAGATCAACGTGCAACAAAAGAAATACACAAACCTCTGTCAGGTGAAGGCATGGGAAAGTGAATGCCCAAGCGCCAAAAACCGTAGAGAAAAGCCAACAAGAATAAGATAGCACCCACTGCAGCCCGTTCCTTCCTCATGCCTGAAATACAAAATCAAAATTCAGAACATCTTTTGAAGAGAGGTGATTAAGATGGTACAATCTATGCAACTTGTGTGCATGAGAGAGAGAATGCTGGAACAGCAGTGGAGTACTATAATCAAACTGCTCTATGGTTACATTCAAGACTTTTTCCTAATTATTCATGGTCACTATAATATTATTTTTTGGGCCCTTACTGGAGATTTAGGAGTAGTCAGTTGATTTACAATGAAGTTGCATAAAAGGACAATGATGTGCCATCAGTACAACAATATACAACAACAGCGCCTCAGTGCCAAACAAATTGGGTTCGGTTAAAGTACAACAATATACACTCTTCAAAATATGGACCTTGGGCCTAAATCCAACCCTAAAAGCTAGCTTTGAGGTGATGATTACTCAAGATCATAGCAGTAAGCAACAACTCATTCTCTCAATCTATGTAGGACACTCACTTAAATCCCCCTCCCTCCCGCACACTCAAGGTTGGACAAGTGCGGATAATACAATATGGTGGCCCAACATTGGATAACCAAAAATTGGTATGTGGCATATTAAGAAAATGGACCTTGGGCCTAACTCAACGGTAGAAGCTAACTCATAAGGTGAGAATTACCCTACACCATATAGTTAATTCTATTGAAGTGCATAAAATGCTTAAAATTCTAAGCTAGCCTTAGTAACCCATAACCAGATCAAGTCTTCACCCATTCCAAAATAAGCAGCTTTCTGAATTCATAGCTTATCAATTAATCCACATGGTAAAATTCTTTTCCTTCTACTTCAAAAGCATGATACAAATTAGTACTTCCAACAAAGTGCATCTAAGGTGATGAAGCAAGCATACAGAAGGACACTATCTACTTAAACTTTAGAAGTAACCACCACGAAACTTCCATGTGCATGAGAAGTATAGCCAAGGTTGCAGGTAAGAGTTACGCTTAGACGGGGAAATTGTGCAAATAAAACCCATGTAATGATTCTTGTAAATACTATCCTGATATTTCCACAAAGCACATCTATCTAAATTGTATATTAGATCAGCATGGGAGCAACTACGTATTATCCTCGTAATAGGCTTAGCCCTTCTTCATTCCAAAGGGAAAGAAAAGATCATATTTTTGTGCCTAGAAGCATCTTGGGACTAAAATGACAGCACAGAAAGCAGCTTCGTCCGATTCTCATCAACAGCAGTTATGAAAAAATAAAAATAAAAGTATCGATAGAAAAAAAAAACAGAAAAAGAGAGGATAAACCAGATTCAATAAAGGTGCATAAAGGTGAAAACTGAAGTTTTAATTGAGCATGATCATAATTAAAGCAACTTACCGCTGTTGCAAAGCATCAGGTAGCAATGATAGTAGGGCAACATGAAGACTAGTAACAGAATCAAACAAAATAAATCCACCTTCCAATTCATCCATCTTGCCCTACAGTTAACACAGAATGGTTAATCAATTAAACAACTTATAAAAACCAAAAAGATAGCGCAAAGCTAGTAAAACTGACTGAAGATAGTGTTCCCTCCAAAAAGACCTACTGACTTATTCATATAAAACTTCTCTCTCTCGAACAATTCAAACTAATATAAGAAATACTACTTCATATAAATAGTAAAATGGTATGAAGTGTTTTCAACTAATTATTCCATTTTTCTTCACAAAACTATTACTTCAAACATTCTATGACCAAAGTGAATACAGTAATGTGGTTAAACATTTTATTCTTAAAATACAAGTATGCCACAGCAGGTGATCTTTTAATGGAATGAAGGGCGTATGATGTAATCTACTAGATTCATACATGGAACTATTATTTTATAGGTCATACATGGAACTAGTATTGAGGACATAGTGTTTGCACAAAAATGTTATGTGTCACAAAAAAATGCCAATGTGATGATGCAATCTTTTGGTTTGTTTGACTTTAGGATCAGCAGGATGAAGCAGCAGTTAACAATTATAGACATTCATACAGGAAGCTAAACTATGAATGTAATCCTAACTCACCTGACACCAAAAGAGGACTTCGAAGAACAAAAATATATGAAGTTTTTTATATTAAATCTGGCAAGCTTTAGAAAAAGATTTGCTACTCTTACATGTAAAACAATAAAGATCTTGAGTTGAAAAGAAACAAAATGAGAGAGTGAAAGACATGATTTTCAGAAATAACAGTTTGCTATAGGACTTTCGAGTTGAATGTTCTATCATATAGCTTAAGAATATATTTCGAAATTTTATCTCCCACCTTCCAACACAACTGACCATCAACATTCATAGCTCACTCTAAATATAATAAGAGCAATAACGCCCTTTATCATCTATAAGTTAGGAGGGAGGGAAAAAAAGAATCAAACAAATAAAAAATAAGGAATAATTGAGGAAATGAAACTTGAGAAAAAACTGAACCAAATGGCAAAGGATCACAATATTCAGTTTCCAGTAGAGTAATAATCAATAGAGAGATTATGTTGCATTTTCCTGGCTGCAACTTGCTAACCAGAAATTGAAACTTTCCTATATCTAAAACTGCAGATGGCATCCTTATAGATGTTTAAAAGTACCTCAGAAAGGTAGGAATAACATAACTAACCATATTCTGTGTCTATTGATGAGTAGAAATGTATCAAATGAGTAGAGAAAGAGTACAATAGTTCAGATATGTAAGAAAAAGGACATATTCAAACTTCTATGAACAATCATGATGTTAACTTATATTTCATATGATGAAACATTGAGAAAGGATGATACAACATTAATTTAGTGACATCAAATGGTTATGGTGACCAAACTGGTGTCAAAAATGCTAGTTGTTCATATGGTTCGACTGTGTTGAGTATTAACAAATAAGTTCCATCCACTATTCACATATGGTAATATATTGATGAAAACAGCGATTGGTTTAAATCCATCATTCCTATATGGTGGAGACGCATGGCTATGCTCTAACTGTGAGATTAAAAGAAATGATAATTTTAATACCCGTAATTTGCCTAAAATTACAAATTATTTACCAGTACTGAAAGGAAGCTAGTCCCAATTGAAAAGAACAAATATAGTGGATTCATATAACCAACCCAACTAGTTTGGGATTGATGCCTAGCTCATTGATTGATCTGTCGGGATGTAATTCCTCCATCCCAAGATCATCAGTTCATCTATTCCTACATCATAGATCCAATGAAGAATTTCCCTCTATCCCCTGCAAAGACAATCTCAAACTAGAAACAACATAATCCCCATTTAAGCTGAACCCATTCTCTCCGGTATGAACCCATAATCACGCACTGTCAGCTCACCCACTCCCAATCAACCAAACACAACAACACAAAGATCCTAATTTCTCATCCCACAAAATGCTCTATTACTACCATCAACTAACAAAAAATCATCCAAAACCCAGTTCTCAACTAAACAAATAAACTCTATACAAAGCATAAAATCCAACAATACTGCAAAAAAAATAAGCAAAACATACTCTTTCGAAAGAATTGGAATGATCTCGAAAAGAACAAGCTCAAATAGATTGCACGATAAAGCGAAAACAACACTGAATATGATCTGAACCAGTACTCTCTTCTCTTCATACTCTTTGTACAATCTGCGATTCAAAAACCATAACCCTGTCCAACCCAGTAAGCATAATGATCCCACTACAATTACTCCCTCGTATGTCGCTCTTCCCCAGCCCATTTGAACAATACTGCTCTTATATGCTTTACTTGGTTTACATATAAATCTGTGTACTCTTTGTTTTCTTCAGTACAACGCCATTAAACTCCACATTTCAGCATCAATTATATCGCAAATCTCAATAATCAAACAATGATTGAAGATCCACCATGAATTTCACCCACTTTTTTCACAATAGTAGTTTTCTCAAAAACATCAATCACCTAAAAGTATTGAGATTTGTTTTTTGTTAAGTTTTTTGTGTGATACTGGTTTTGGAAAGGGGGAAAGAAAGATTTTCTGGAGAATTTTTTTTTGCTTTTGGAATTAGATTTTGATTAAATTTATTTTAACATTTGCGTTGGTTTAGCAAAACCTTCATTTGGGGTTTTTTTTTTTTAATTGTTAATTTGGGTATGTTTTTTATTTTCTAAAGAAACTTCAATTTGAAAATCCACAACACTTGTAGGTAGATTTTCAAATGTTCTGAAAAATCAAATTTAGAAGAAGTTTTAAAATGTATTTGGTAGTTATTTTAAAGTACATTTTAACTTTTTTTTGTTATTGAAAAATATGAAACATGACTTATATTCACAAGTTTTAAAATTATCAAACATAGTCAATCGTATAAAACAAACACACTTACTAATTTCAAATTATGTAGATGTTTCATTGATAACATTCATTATCATTATTATAAATCATAATCTTGTATATAGGTAAGTTTGACACAAAATTATTGTTTTTATGATGAATTAGGTAATATGATATCCTATCAAAATTGCTAACACAATTACTTGATACTATAATTCGTCAAATGACAGTTAGTTACAAAGAGCTAAAAATGTAATGTATAATAGAAAGTCTTGCCTCATACACGAAGACATCATATCATTAAATAATTACTCTCTAGTGAAATTATCACAATTGACTATGCAAAGTTAGAAGATATGTGTTTGATCCATTAATAAAATGTCAAAGTAAAGAGATGGTCGATAAATCATTAAATGGAATAGGATTATGACCGAGAACAAGTCTTCATAATAACTCTATAATAACTCTACTTAGTTGACTAGAAATCCCAAGATCTAGGTTCAAGGAATCAAATAAAGTTACGAATGACGATTATGTAAGTGTAAAGTGTAAACTGTTTTAAGGACAATTAATACAAGGCTAGTTCTCTTCGCCTTATGAACTTAGTCAATGTTTATGACTGAAACGAACACAACAATGAGAATCAAGAATGACTAAGGATTAATTGTGTGACATATGTTGCCAAAACATACATCAAAGCTAGACAGCTTGAGAATATCAAATTTACCGGTTAACCAAATTCTTCTTCACAAAAGTATACAAAATTCATGTGTAGCATTTCTACTTCATTACGAGGAGAAGCTATTAGGATTCCTGGCTCGATTGGTATAATGAAAATTGAAAACAATACAACATTTAACAAGCTTGCTAAAAAACATGATTTTCTTAGAAGCTCTGTGAGCATGACTTTACCATATTCACTTTTCAGCTTTAAAGGTGAGGAGAAAGTGAACTCCTAAAATATAAAAGCATAGCTTCTCTTCCAACCTTCTAATGTTATAGAAATTTGATAGCTTCTCTTCTCTTTGGAGAATGTACATGTTGCAATGGCCATATTATGCATGAGCAATATACCATTATATACTAGTTTTTACACATCTATGATCTGGTTGAACTGTTGCTGTGTCTGCAAAAGCATCATCTCTTCCACAGAGAACTTCTTATAGAGCAGCCGTTGATGACTCATGAACTCTAGAAATAAATCTTTTAACTTCTTTGCTCTTTCATAAGCTTCTGTTCCTGAATGGACCACCATCAGATCTTTGTCCATTACTAGACACATATCCTACATAAAGACAGGCCACCTCAGGTGATGTTAGGGAGATCGATGTTGAAAAACGGCAATAGGAGAAACCACCAGAATTCATATGCATATGACTTGGGCAAGATCAAAATTCAGCAAAAATGATATTCCATATAAATAACCCAGGGACTTGACCAATAAGTTAAGCTTCTTCATGCATGAATTTGATTCAGGAGTTGGCAATTTATTCAGCAGGTGCCAGTGTGACCTTGCTCTTCTTCATTTGATCCAACTAATACTGAGACAAAGCATTTGGTCCGATGTTGAACCTATTTCTCTAACATGTCTAAATAGCACAATTTCCTCACAATGATGACCTATATTTCCTACTGATGTTTTTTCATTTGTGAAATGCTGCCACATCCAGGAAGTGGGTCTCCTTTGAGGCCTTACAACCTATTCAAATGTAACTATACTATTATAAGATCTTACCTGAGGTTCGTAGCTTCCTGACCACATCTTAATCATGTCGTGCCTTAATTTTCTTTCAGTTATAACCAATGGCCTGTGAAAGTCAAATAAAAAACACATGATTCTCTAGCTAATTTAGAATCTAGAAGATGTATGCAGAAGAATGAAAATCTTGATGGTTTGCATTAATAGCAGCAGGTTCTAGGTTCTACAGGTCTGGCACAAATTTGGAGAGAGGATTACTTGAAGATCTTGACGTAGAATACATCTATTCTTTTAGGTTTTGGGTGACCGGATCCCACCTCCCCCAGGGGCAAAGGAGAGGTATGTATAAAATATGAGCTATTATTGAGGTGATCACTATTTCAAAACACCTTATATCAGCCAATCATCACTTCAACCAAAATCAATCAAGATGAAGAGAAAGGTTTACGTTTTACATACAAGTACACAAATGGCCTATAACAAGGGGTGAAGATAGTTGATATAACAATGGTGTGAAGTTCAAATCACAAGGCAGCGGAAGATAACATGCCATATTACATTTGTTTTTGCAAAACAAAAAGAATATTTAAGAAAAAAGAAGAAACAAATAAAAAAGTCAGAAGATGACATATTGACAGCTGGAGAGAATTCTACATCATTGCCTGCTAACAGAAGGTACCACACCCAGAATATCCAGATGGCAAGACCATTTTATCAAGGAAGCTCTTCTGAGCAGATCAGACAAAAAATATCTGTATGTCCTTGTCAAGTTTCATCTACACTAAACACGATCATTTGTTGAAAAAAATTTGTTTCGACCTCATAATCTGTCTAGAGGCAAGAAATGAAATTAAAAGCTAGGCTCTAAGACCAACTACACGTAGTATAGGTAGAGAAATATTATAATCTATCACAATTCACAGGCCTTGTTCAAATAGAAATAGTATAGAACAAAGGTATAGTGAAGACTCTAGAGTTTTAGGCCTTTAGCATCAGATGACAAACTATACATGCCAATGAAGACACTACAATGAGAAAGAGATAAATAAAAGTTACGCACCAGCTTAAGAAACAACATTCTTAATTAAGAGACTGAATGCATGAGGCATACCTTCCAGTTGAGGACACAATAAGGTGGGCTGGATTATCCAAAAACTGGAGTATCTTCTGACGCTTATCTTCAGAATCTACCACAATAATACCTCTCGCGTATGGCATGGACGGACTTGGTAAAATGTATGCTTGTGATGGAACAGAAGTATGTTCATGTATAAAATCCCTAAATGATGATTGTAATAAGTTTCTCTCCAAGTTTTCAATAAACATAAAATGGGAACTTGGACATTGCCCTCCGAGATCTTTGTCATCTTCCCAAAGCCTGCTATATTTACTGTTTGTTGCTGCAGTTCACAAGGAAGAAGTTAAGAAAAGCTGAAAGTTTTGCATCATAACAAGTGATGGATTTTCAGAGCAAACCTCCTGTTGTCACAGCAACGATACTCTTGACATTATTCATTCCCTATGGAAACAAGGAAACAGATATGTTTAAGGGTCATGCATCCTAATTCCAATTTATGAACATTATACAGTGAAAACTTGCCTCAAAGGATGAAATCATAGACAAATTACTGCCTCCATTTTCACAAGATGAACCTTCAGATGCAGAAATCTCATACTTCGAAGCAGCAGTCAACATGCAAGATGATTTTCCAAGATTCCGGTTCACCAATTTCAAGAAGGAAGCTATTTTCGGACCAACTTGAGCAACACCTTTTAGAATACACATGCCTTCAATTCCGGTATCGGTTAAGTATCCTTTCTTTGGACCATGAAGCCAAGATATTACAAAGGTGCATAAACACTCTTCCTCTCCATTGCAAAATGAATGGTCCACATTGTGTATCTACCAAAGAGAGGAAGGGTCAAATTTGAAGCAATTCAGCAGTTTCTGCTGTCATTTGGCAAGTAACAAGTAGTTCATCTTTTTTTCTTAACTATTTTTCAGGCCAAGTAAGCAAAGAAAATATAAGCTATCATTTATTGATAAAAAGGAAATGAACACACAATTAAACCAAAAATATAAAAGAAAGAAATATTTATGCCTCAAGAATATGATCCCTTGTCAAGTCCTGCTAATGAAATACAACCAAAGAGAAAGTGGGACACTTGTAGTCATTGCTTAGCTTGGTTTTCTATTTCTCCAGTGTTAGATCAACACTGGAACATTGCTCAATTTGACAGAATAAATTGTTAATGACAGTAACAGAAAGTGACAGAGACACAATATTTACAGGATTTGGTCAATTAGACCTATGTCCATGAGTGGGGAGGAGAAACTTTACTTTTCCAGAAGATGTATAACTGAGAGTACACAATCAAAGTTAATACTCTACTTACCCCTCACAGAAGTTCAAATTTTTCTCCAGATAAAATGCATGTCGAAACACAACTTCAAGTTACATAAATCACAACTTCAGAAACTCAAACTTTCATGTTACAGCTTCAAAATCTATGGCCAGACAAAGAGATATCACTGATTTGGACAAATAAGCAAAACTTTCACGGAAAATGTTGATTGAAAAATGAATTTTCATCACCATAGCATTCTCTCACAGCAGCGATAAACGTTTAACTTATATACAAACATAAAAAAACAGAAGAATTAAATACCGACAGAAACGGCGATACACAACTCACCGCTTCAATAACAGCGTCGTAAAACAGCATGTCCTCCCCGCCGAAAGCGTTACATCCTACACAGACAATCATCCCTTCCTTGAGACTACCACACTCGCTGTCCTGCATCTGAGGCGATACAGACCTAAACCTCTTAACCAGCTCATCAACCTCCTCCTTCGACTTGAAATCTCCAGCGTGAAAAACCTCGTCACATTCCTCCGTATACCCCTCATACTTCACAGTCATTGTTTGGCCTTTCATTACGAGCCGTACGCTATACCATGAGTCATCATCGCTCGCTCTGTACTCCAGGTTGTATCCTTTCCGTTTGCGTGGATTCGCCATTGCCGGAAAAAGAAGTTGTTCCGATCTCCGATGGAAAATGGGTACTTGGAATTCTGTTGTTACTGCCAAATTCGTTTTTCATGTGTGAGTGCTTGCAGTGTATGCAGGAAGACGTGGCGTGTTTCAGTAAGCTAATAATACTAACACCTTCCACAAACGACGTAAACGAGGTTGAGCTTAAGTAATTTAAAAATGAATTATTCTACATTCTCTTTTTGATAATATTGTTTGATACTGAGTTTAATAATACAATTTATTTTCGGTAAAATATCAAACTTTACAATTCAATTATTTTTTTAACTAAAAAATGCTTCAAAAATTCAGTTAATATAGAATAGAGAAAATAATTCTTAAATATTTATGTGAGTATAAATTATTTCAATAAGAATAAAAAAATTAAAATTAAATTATTTTAATTATAATAAAGTAATATTTTTTTAAAATGATCTAAAAAGGAAAGATATCACATTAAATGTGAGAGAGAATATTTGAATCGGATCCGACTCTTCTCCATTTTTCTTCTCTCCATTTTCCCCAAGTTCCTATTTGAATTAGTGACACATGACATAAGTTAAATTAAATGGCTAAGTTTTAATTTCTAAAGTAAATTTCTAATCATGATTTAAATACTAAATATATTATATATTTAATTTTAAAAATAACTATAACCCTCCACAATCTTAGCAATATATTATCTTGTTCATAAATTTTGGGGAAAAAGAGTTCTCTTCCTAAATTTTTTACACAGGATGTTACTTTTATTTTATTTTTAAGTTAATCTTTTTATTGCATTTTTTCCTTGAACTTTTCTTTTTAACCATTAGCTATTGAAGAGCTATTATTTTTCCTTATTTTATTTCACCTTTTTTTTCTATTTCCTCCAAAATTAACATTAGCTATTATTTGGCGGCAATTCAATGTTCATATAATCGGTAACATTTTTTTTTAGAAAAAATATATAAGCTTAAAAGTTTTTCATCTTATTGAGTTATCGATTCAGTAAGGATTTGAGTTATTTTCTTAACAGTTGAATCAATAATTCAATAGTAATTTATTTAATTACAATTCTACATTTAGTTGACTAGTTAGCTTAGGCTTCAGTTCATTTTTCAATTATGATTTCTCATAGAGAAAGTTTCAAACAAAGATTACGATAAAAAGATTATTTAAAAGAAAATTAAAAAAGATAGTAAAAAAAAAAGGAAGAGAACTGTTTTCCCTATATTTATGGACAAGATAATATGTTGCTAAGATTGTGAGATTATAATAATTTTTAATACTAAATATATATTGTATTTATTAGTTAAATCATGGTTAGAGATTTACTTTGGAAAATTGAATCTTAGACATTTATTTTAACCTATATGTCATGTATCACTGATCCAAATAGGAACTTGGGGAAAACGGAGAGAAGAGAAATGGAGAGGAGTTGAAGCCGATTATGATGAATTAGGTTACATAACTCAATCTATTTAATTGTTACTACGTACTATATTTTAAATTCAAAATTTATTTGAGTATCTAAAAAAATATATCACATATAAAGAATATTTTTTTAAAAAAACAATTTAGATAATATTTGCATGGATCAATATAGACGGTATATCCATCCAAATTAAAAATGAATCGAACTAAGCAAGTCAAAATAAGTTAACTTAATAAAATAAATAGGTTACTAACTCGTTCAAAATATGTCAACTTAAAAAACTCGTTCAAAATAAGCTAATATCATGATTTATTATGTATTAATTATCATATTTATAGAGTAAATTTGTATCAAAAATATCATATTATGAACACTATACAGTGAAAGTTTGTCTCAAAAGATGAATAAATAGACAAATTACTGCCTCCATTTTCACGATGTATATGACCCTTAAAAAGGCAAATATATCACTAAATGTATTATTTGTTGATGTGTGCGCGCATGCGTGCATGTGATTTTCTAATTAATTGTATTTTGAATAATTTATAAAATTGCATACGTATTGAAACTAGAGAAAAATGTATGAAATAACAAACTATTACTACAAATTAAATGGTATAGCCATAATTTATTTTATTTGTAATTCGCAGCAAACATCTCATTTTTTTGTCATCTGATTCGGTATACAATTAGCCATTTTCGGTATACAATTACCCATTCAATATACAAATGTATAAAATGTGTTTGTGTTTGTATAAAGCGAGAGAAAAGTGTATATACAAATACAAATACATATATTTTCGTCCTATACACTTATAATTATACAAATTACAATGTATAAATTCATTTATACAAAACTGAACAATTTGTATAAAATTGGAAGTATCTAGCGAATTATACAAATCAAAAACTCCATAGCAAACATAAAATTTGCTATGAAGCGCAATTATGCAAACTATAGTTATAACATACAAATATGATTTTTATGTTTGTTATATGAGAAAGTTGCTCTTAAAACTACAACTTGCAGTTTTTATGTGTATGTGTAGATGGCTTATTCGATTTTACTATTGTTTACCGTCTTTTCGATTTTAATAGTACTTGGTCTATCTTTTTATAAATAGAAAATGGACATTTTGTGAGTGATCAATTTATTAAGATGACAATTATTTACCTTCAAATAATTCAAGTAAGAAAATAGCAAACATGACAACAAAATTGTTCTTCTCCTAGCTAGTTAGAAGGCCATAAAAAAATAATATTATCCCACAATTATCTACCTTGACCCAATTGCATAATAATTCAAGAGTATAATTGGAAAAAAAATAAATTATAGAGTTTTAATCCAAACACAAGATGAGGTGAGAAGCAATGAACCAAACACTTGATAAAAAAATATACCCTGCAATCCTGCATTACCAACCATGTGCTGCTAATCACTATATTATTAATCCCTATGTTACTAATCCATGCACTGCTTGCATAATTAATCTATGTACCAACCACGAAATAGTTCAACTTTCTGCTTTCCCTAATTATTATCAAAGCCAAGTAAGCAAAGAAAATTTAAGCCAATCATTTTCTATGGATAAGAGGGAAATGAACACACAATTGAACCAAAAGGTAAAAAGATGAAAAATATATACCTCAAGTATAATATGATCACTTCAGTAGAAAGTAGCAAGAAAAGGAATTGGGAAATTGTAAGTGTATTTATACATATATGTGTATCCAACGAGTACAAAAGCAAAGTTTAATACAACATCAGTTTCTCAAACTTAATAGAATATTACATTTAGACATTTGATAATATTTTTTGCGTGTGCTCTCCTTGGTCTATTAGATAGTTAAGTTCACTACATAAAATATGTTATGTTCTTAAGTTCACCACATAAATATGTTATGTTCTTTAATTATAGGGATAAGACACAAATATCCCCCTAGACTATGACCAGAGGCGTATCCAGGAGGGGGTCACCAGGTTCACGTGAACCCATGCTCCCCTCCCGAAATTATATATAGTAGTGTTATATTTTTTAAAGATATATTTAAATATCAAATATAGATGTGTGACTTTAAATGAAATATTTCTAAAAATATAACACCATATAGTAGGCAACACTTCCATCTCAACACGTTAGAGAAATGGAGAAATCATTGGTAGGGTGCGGAGCGCTTTCCCATAAATAGGCCTTACGCAGCCGAACCTGGATTAGTCGGGCCAATAGATTAAGTACAGGTAAAACTTCACAAATAGCCACTTTTAAACCCCTGTAACTGAAATATAGCCAATGTCATGGAACTTCACATATGAAATTTGAAACTCTTGACAAAGGCTATTGTTCAGAGACACATGGCAACATCAAACCGGTCATAACAGTAAGCAAAAAGTTTGGAGATTACAAACAATCTTGAAACTAATTAAGCTGGAAGGTAGAATAGCAAATTATACACTGAGAGAAGAGAGTTCAGGAAACTCCAACTTGTGCTGTAGGATTGATCATTGAGACAGTGGCAAACTTTCTTGGAAACAATTTCAAAATCCACGAAGAATCATTTAAAAAGGTTCTTAAGTCCATCAAATAAATTCAGAGCCTTCAATTCTCCACTCCTTATGTCCCTCAATCTTCTCCTCAATATCTGGTATCATGTCACAAAAGCTCAGAATTAAGGTTACTGGTTAGAAAGATTGATTAATCACATTGCAAGACTTTCATCTCCCTTTGTTCACTGCTTTCTTGAGTTTATAACGGTTATATGATAGCATAAACAATACATTGAATTACAGCAAGTTAGGATTTATGCAGAACGCAAACATATGTCTATCCTCCTATATTTCATTAAAAGATGGCGTCATGAGATCGTTAAGCTGTCGCAAATGAAGCAAAGACTGACAGTTCAATTAACTACATGTTATGGAGGGTTATTGGAAATTTGGAATGTGAAACAGAGTCTGTACTTACATATTGGCTACGATAGAGAATCCTTCGCTCACTTGTACACAGGTCAACTGCTAGCTGTTTCAGAAACACTCTTCTGTTTAGTTGCTTTGGATTTGTTACATCGAGATCCATTTCTCCACTTGCCTGTCACAAGAAGATTTGATAGTTAAAGCACCCAAGAGTGTGGCCAAGTGGTCAATGGAGTGAATTGAGAACCATGAGGTCTCAGGTTCAAATCCCGGCATAGACAAAAAGTACTAGGTGATTTCTTCCCATTTGTCCTAAGCCTTGGTGGACAAAGTTATGGTACTTGTTGTTGGTGAAATGTGATAGGTGTCCATGGAATCAGTCGAGGTGCATGAAAGTTGTCCCGGACACCATGGTTATCAAAAAAAAAGTCTGATAGTATATTAGCTTAGGTATATGCAAGGGAACAAATTTATACATGCAGTAGATGCAGACAAAAAAGGTGCACTTCTCTATATCATCTCTACAACCCATGTCACGGTGATTAGTGGAAACATTCCTGTATAACCAAGCCATAAACAAAAAAGTTGAGGATACACACAAGAATATGGTCCTCTACAGATGACACATTATATTCTATACAACAGGATTGCCTTAGCTGCACCAAAAGCTAACTAGAAACAAAAAGCTCCTCAAATAAACAAAATCATTTTCAATCCCTTTAAAGCTCTCATGTTTCTTTTTCTCTAGGACCACATGATGGCTAAAGGAAGCAACATCACATGCCGGTATCCATGTTGGTGTGATTATAGGACAGTAGTACTGAGAGAAGTAATTTACTACCTGAAGGAATTTGGAATACTTTGATATGCTAGATTCACAACTATCGAGAATAAATTGCAATGCATCTTCTTCTATTTCTGGATACTTGATATCTTTCTTTGATGTTGCCTTATTTGATGCAGCAGCAGCCATCTGTAATAGACTTGGTTTTAGACTTTCTTTCCCAATTAAAGAATTTATTTCAAGTTTCCTAACTTGCAAAGTTGAGATTTATCGCACCTCTTCAAACTGTCTGCTCATGCTAGGTGGACTGACCACTAGATAAGCAAAAGCCATCAACTCCAGTGGCCAACCAGTAACTTGTACTGGAAAACTTTCCGATCTGTTCAAGGTCAACGAGAATTTGCAAGTTAGTATTTTTAAACATAAACAATAAAGACATCAAAATCTATGAACATCATTGTTTTTTTCTTTTTTACTTATGACAAGAAAACCATAGCGAGAAGGTTTCTACATTTCTTCAGAAATGACTCAAATTAGAGAAATAATATATCCAGAAGTATCTATTTCACTGTCACGTGGACCACCCCATATAACCAAAGTACTCACGCTGATAATCCATGTTTCTTTAGAGCTTCCACCTTCTCTTTGTAACATTTGTCAGATTTCGTAAGTGCCAATGACACCTCAACTGAGTCGCTTGGATTGGTCCCTTCTTTAGGAACAAATCCATATGAAAGCAAAAGTTCTCCATTAGATTTCCTTCCATATGATATAAAAACCTGTACAATCAAAGCTTAAAGGTTATGTACGCAAGGCATTCTCTAGCATGATTATCCTAAACATCAAGTGGTTCTATGAGGAGCTTTCATCAATTACATTATATAGATATAAAATTTTATGTTGCATACTGGCGGGGTAAAAATAAATAAGGGTGTAACACCCCAAAACAAAGGTAACAACAACAACATCATCGGTGGAGGTAACGGATACCCTGCCCTAAACATGGCTCAATTAGGATCAGGAGTAAATTTCCAAAAACTCATGTTCGGTACAATGACAGTATTCGACGACGAATTAACAGAAGGTCATGAACTCAACTCAAGCGTAGTTGGAAAATCTCAAGGATTTTACATTTCTAGTTCAGAAGATGGAACTAGCCAGAACTATGGCATTTACAGTAATGTTTCATAGTGGAAGTTATAGTGATAGTTTGAGCTTCTTTGGGGTTCACAGAGTTAAGAGTTTTTCAATCACATCTTCCTATTATGGGTGGTACTGGAAAGTATGTAAATGCTAAGGGATTTGCTACTGTCAAGACTTCTCCAGCTGCAAATCAACAAACAGATGGTGTGGAGACTCAGTTACATTTTACTGTTTATCTTGCTTATTAATTTGTCATGTGTTTGTTGTAATAGTAATTTATTGCTTTTGTATTATTTGTATGAGATGTTTTATCAGCAATGAGATTGAGCAAGTTTGTGCTTGTGATTGCATCAGCAGAGCTAGTGTTTATGTTATGTTTCGGTCAAAAATCAATAATTATGTTGGTCATTGCGTCAGCATGTTTTACAAATTCTTCATGTTCAGTTATCATGTTTATCATGCATTATCTTACATACTCAGTACAGACCCATTCACAGACTGTGATGGGATCCGTAGACTAGAGCTCAAGATTGGAAAATTTCTAAGAAAGGTTCACGGACCATTCTACGGACCATAGAAGTTATCACGGGTTGTAGATTGATCTGTATAACAAGACGTCAAAACCCCAGAATTCCCTATCTTTATGAGTAGTTGTACGCCCCCCGTATAGTGTTCTGCGGACCGGAGAAGAGTCCGTGGAGTTGCCCCTCATAACTCAGAATTTCCTTTCCATTTACGAGCACTGCCACGGACCGTGGAGTGATATACGGACCATGGAAGGCATCCATAGATGGCCTCCGTCAGTTTTAAATCATGGTTATTTCGGTCTTTTTCCACTCTTTTAATTTCTATACTACGTTGTTTTGACCTATTCTAAGTGGGATTAAGTGATTCCTAGTGACCTTAGCCTCCCATACTCTCCTAACTCTCCCAAATCAAAGTTTCTTCTCTCTCAAGTTTTCTCCCAAAGTAAGAACCAGGGCTCCAAGCTTCAAGTCCCCACTGAAGGAATCAAGCCAAAGTTTCAAGTCTAGGTATGTGGGATTTCATTAATGAGTATCCGTTCACCCATTGAGTCCCAAGAGAACCCCAATTTCTCAAGTTTATGATTCCTACAAGTTAGAACTTTCTATAATCTTCATGGGTTTTCTTTGTAAATCAGTTTTTCTTCATGATCAGTCCCTGACCATGTACATACCTTCTGCCTATATTGTTTGATTATATAGGTTCTGACGCTCAGTATCCAGCTCGCGGTTAGTACTATCTCTAGTCTGCCGTATTGGTTTGTCCTCATCTCTCCGAGGACAACACTTACATTTTCATTCAGTCATTACTTTAAGTTTCAGATATTTGGAGTTAGCTATGGGCTTGTCCTAGCAACTCACAGTAGTAGAGGCTTTCAGACAGATAGTTTAGACTTCCGCTTATATGTACTCAAATATTTTTTCTATTGAGTTGTTAGACTATTTCAGTTAGCTTCCGCATTCAGTTATCCTCTATCGTGGATTTATGCTATTCTTAGTGTCATGCCATGAGGTTAGCTTGGGGTCACTTGTGGCTCTAAGCACCGTGTTGCATCTAGGGGTAGTCTCGGGGCGTGACAAAGGGTGTGCTAAAAAGATTTCTGTTCAGCTAGGTTAATCAGAATATTGTTAGTCTATGGTCCTCTCTAAGACACAGGGCAGTAATTTTCTAATTTGAGTTCACTATTGACTTTAAGGATAGGGAATAGTAATTTTGGGAATACGTTAATTTAGCTAATCATTTTTTGAAAAATCAGAATAATGTGTACCTGCTCACCTGGCAGATATGCCCTGTCTGTTGTAAAGACGATTCCTTGCGATGATTTATCATAGTCAAGAAATGTTTCCACCTTGAACAATTAAAATATCTGAAGAAATCAGAAACAGTTGTGTCAAATATGTAAAGTACAGACATTTTCAGAGAAGTGTTATTCACAACCTCACAATTATGATTCAACATATCTGCCCAAGGAACCAACGCAACTCTTCCATCCATAGAGGGTAACCTGACCTGTGGTTAACACACAAAGAAATTTAGGAAACACTGAATAGTTTCTCATGAAGTAGATCTTCTGCATCGAGCACAAGAGTGATGACACAATCTCTTTTTCCTTTTTAGTATACCATTTCTCAAAAGACACCCCTTCTGCACTCAATTCTACAAGTTTTTTCTGTGATGCCTAAACATGAATGACAGCACAAATCACAGGACAAGCAAATTTTGTGATTGCCGTGTATGTAACTCACCAAACGTGAAAAGAGAATTCCAAATGACCAGTTGAAAGTCTCTATGTTGAATATCTGCATTAACATGCAGCAGATTTTTTTAATAAATATTATGACACTGAATAAAACAAAAAATAGCAATAGGCAGTGTAAAGTCTCCACTCTCTAGTTAATTGTATAACAATAATGCATCTCTCAACTTCTCCAGACAACCAAAGTACTTGCAGGATGTACATTCTTTCCACAACACGTCCAATCAGTTCTAGAAAGTGCTGATCTTGGTGAATATAAGAAGCAGTCTGATGATCTATATTGTGCAGAATTCATTTATAAACCTCTTATTTCAGGATGGAAGTATGTAGATGGTCTATTGTGAAACAAGCAGTCAGTTGAAAAGAAGCTTGGCCATTTGATTGCTCCACTTGGTCCAAGAATATGGTTCTTGATACAGAATCAAATCAACATTACCACAGGACTATGTAGTCTTCCAATTTGAAGCCAAAAGTAGATTATATAATATAAACTCCAGGAAATGTGAAAACTTATCACTTTACATAGACAATTGTTTACCCCCAAGAAACAAAAAAATATGACAAACAGACAAATTCTATCCGGCCTCAAATATTAGCTGGCCATTATATTTATGTACCTCTTCAGGAAATAAATCAGGATGCCTGGAAAATATTCTGAGCCTCAAGTCATTGTACCTGCATCAAAGATCATGAAACAAATAATAGTTAGCAAGACAACGTTGAAAAGTAAATGAACACAACTTCTCTCGATGAAAATAAATGAACTATACAACCTTACTTTTCTTCAGTTTTTGACAAGTTCAGCTGTAATCCTTGTGATATCCGACTAATCATGTTTAACATTCAATTATTTTGGATGTTCACTTTTGGTCCCCTAGCAACAGATTCTTGCAAATCCAATGAACAAATTTACTATTATACAATGTGACTGTAGCACCATATGCTAAATGTGTGGTATTTTTGGTACTTTTTCTTTGTGTCATGAAGATTGTAGTTCATTTGACATGTTGTTCATTCTTCTGATTTCAATTGATTATCTTCCTCGTCATTAAAACAGCCCACCCTTACTGAAGCATGCAATGGCTAGATACTAATTAGTCAAGTCCATGTGATTTTGCAGGAATGTGTTAGTGGAGAGACCAATGAGACATTACAAATAATCAGGGTAATGTGTGCCTAATCAGGTGTCTGTCACGCAGGGGTGGAGCCAAGTAGGGGATGAACCCCCTTCAGCGGACATTGTTAAAATTATGTTTATACATTGTTAAAAAAAATAAAAAAAATTAATGCATATATAGTAGATGTTAAATCTCCTTTGGCTTCTTCGCGTGTTTATTCTTAATATTTTGAACCTCCTTAGTGAAAAAATCTTGTCTCCGCCATCAGTGTCGCGAGAACCGAAGCTAATAATAGAGTGACCAAAAGTATTTTTTTCCCAAAAAGTAGGCTTAAAACTAGCTCAAATTATAACATCTGAGAAATTGACTAAAGAAGCCTTACGTTCCAATGACGTTATTTATCCTTTCAACCGCCCGTTGTCTTATTTGTGATGCTTCCAAGTACCTATCTAGCTCTGATTGAGTCCTGAAAAGACATGGAGAAGCTGTAGGGGGACTTATTGAGCATGTACCATTTACGTTGTAAAGGAAGAACTCTCAAGTCTTGACAAGATTTGGAGGACACCAAAATCAGTGGAAAAGGCTTACCAGTATAAGAGAGAGTAAGGCTGCCTAGGCAAGGCAGATATGTAGTTGCTCCATCTTGAAGACTTCATGAAGCTTGCCTCACTTATTAAATATGTAGCAATAAAAGGCCAATCTGGTACATTGTATTGTTTTAAAACATCACCAGCATCTGAATTGCTCCATTTCTGGCATCTCCAGCACATATCAAGACAAAGAAAAAATCTTCTGTTGGTACCAAAATCCGTATTTTTTATATTTTGTTTTAATCAAGACCAAAATCCATATTAGATAACAAAACTAAGAATCAAGATATGTCCCTCCCATCTGATTTGATTGATTAGGAAGCTAATTATTGATCCAACCTGGAGGGCTCGTGTCTTCTCTCAAAAACTGACAATGTTGGAAATGTAAATTTAAGTATCTAAACATAAACCATGTTTAAACACATGCAACACTGTTTCCCTTTGTTCATTTTTCCTCTTTAGTGAACCAACTAACCACAACTAAAAAAGGAGAAACAAAACACCTCATCTTGCAGTTACTTATGTTACTATAGAACCTACAGTTGCACATGTATAGCCTTGGTATATAAACCAGCAACTCTAAAAGATTTTAATATAACTATTTCTTCCATTACCTCTACTTATATAATTATATAAGTAACAGTTAAGTTCCATTTGTAACCATTTTGTCTCTGAGCTGCACCAATAACTAGTATATGTCTAAGCATACAAACAAGGTAAAATAATTCAGTGCTATGCTAAGTATAAGAAGTATCTGTTGTAGAAAGGAATTCAACTTTATTTGTTAAGAGATGTGATTTGGATGTGTGGCTAGTATAACCTTTTGAAAGACAGAAAATTTGGAGTAAACGATAGATCCCATCTAGTTATTGAACTCCTTCTAGCTGGAGAGGGCTATAGTGTGTGCGCTGGCACGTGTACACATGCATGTATGTATATGTGATGTCGGTATCTTGTGCACATGCATAAGTCAATATATGTTGTAGCTGGGATGTGAACATGTTCTCAAGGTTTTTATACTACACAACATACCACACAACCATCTCCTACAAGATAGGGGCTATAAACTATATAATCCAGAGTTTCACAATTGAGGCAACAATCAATGGAAACATTGGCGTATTAGCAAATGACGACCGTGGAAATCAAGGTTTACACTTTATTTCCACTTCCTAACAGTCCAACTTAGATACCTAGCATGAGATACATTAATATGTCAAGAAGTTAGGTTGAAGCATATCAACGTCCTGTTTCTAGACTAATTGGCCTTCACCTATATAGCTTCTATAACTGGCAGGTAATGAAATTTAATTTCATGTGCATGTTTGTTCCTCATCCTTTTGTATTACCCATAGAGTACTTCATCTGTCGGAGCAAATTGCATTTTAAGCCGCCTGTAAACATGCTCCTTTTGTTGTTCACTGAAACTAGTCAATAAAGAGGATCATTTCAATTGTTAGATTGTTGCATTTCACTTTACATGCTCAAGGTTTTCACCTCAGTTGGTTACTCAGGCTTCTAGACCGTAATTAGGATGTGATATGCAGCACCAAAATTAGTCAAATTCCCTCCTTAAATTTCTCCCTGAACTTACAATTTGGGATATCAATTATACAGTCATTTCAAATACACCCAAACCAAACAGCACAACTATGTGAGCATAATTAATTCCAGCAAACAGCATAACTTTGTGAGCATATCAATTCCAGCACAACTAATCTGTACAATACTACTACACTTTATTCTATACTGTTCTTATACACCCTAACAAATTGATGAATTGCCGAATCAGCAGCGATGACAAGTGATGATAAAATTACCGAATCAGCAGTGATGACAAGTGAAGGAGGAACAAAAAGCAGCTTTTCCCCTTTCCTAATATTGTTGTTAGCTACGAGTCCTCTTTCTCCAACATCCACTCTTTGTAAGTCCATCTTTTGAGAAGGAAGCCCTGATTCCGACAACCATTTCTGCAAATTCGACGCATTTTCTATAGAATCAGTTTCGCAACCCCATGGAATGTTCTGGGTCTTTGTGGATTTGGTTGTTTCAGTTGTAGAAATTGATGAACAACGGATACTGATGTTGAGTTTGTTTCTTCTATACAATTTGTAGGAACTAAAATGGGAATTAGTGGTTCCGTCTAGTTTATGGGAGAAAGGAGGAAGAAGAACTGATTGGAGAATTCTAGAAACTTCCGCCATTGATAGAGAAGTAGAATAAGAGTATTGAGTTGAGTGGAGCTCTTTCTTTTGCCTTATCTATATCATCCGTTATTTTGACTGTTATGAATTTATTTGAATTTCTTATTAAATTATAATAAATTAATATTCATTTTAAAAAGAAGAACTTTCGCATATAGCTACTCAAAAATAGCTTAATTGTCCTTCGGGATGGCTCAGTTGGTTTGGAGGGTGGTTAACTGGTTATCCATACGGATGACCCGGGATCGATCCCCCCTCAATGCCTTCTGAGTCGAGCTTGTCGCATAGGGCTTGCCTAGTGCGGTTTACATCTCCTGTGTGGTTTGCAGGCTATTACACAGTGGGGGGTTTACCCAGTGCGCACAAAGTGTTCACCCAAAGGGTAGATGTTGTGGCAGAGGTTGTAGCAACTGCGGGTTATCCTGGGGTTCCAAAAAAAATAAAACTGGCCTAATTACATTCCATAGCTATAGTTTGTTAATTACGATTCGTAGCTACATGTTATAGGGAGAAGAGTGGTGAGCGAAAGAGTGCAGAGGTAAATTGTATGTGTATATTAGTTACATAATTGTATATTATACACAGGGGCGGATCTATTAAGGGGTGTGGGGATGCCACGCCACCCAAGAACTTCGACGGAAACTCTATGTATACATAGGTATATATATATATAATATTTATATAAATATGTAGCGTGTCACCCAATGAACAAAACTAGTATGTGGTGCCACGATAGAAGGGCGACTTAATAAGGTTGATGTTGCGGGTTCGAATCCCATTGGCATCAATTAATTTTGGAAAATTGTTGCACACATTTTTTTAAGAAAAAAAAAAAGGCTACAGGCGTGGGAAATTGCTGCAGCTGGCACGTTTTTTTATTTTTATTTTTATAATTTGGCTAAAAAATGTCCTTGCAGTCAATATTTTGATCCAGAAATGTCCCTATAGTTACTAAATAGATCAAAAATGTCCTTTTCCGAATAATATATTATTTTTTTATTTTTAAACACATTTTCTTCTTAATTAAATTATTATAAAAGAACCATGCTCTTGTTTTCTTTAAAATCACTTTTAAAAAATAAAAATGTAGGAAATATTATTTTTCTTCTTAATCTCATCTTATTAATTAAAATAGAATATTTATGTACCTTTTCGACAGATAATATATGTCATATATATAAGATCATAGTACATTCATCATTATTTATATTTATATAACGATAAAATATAATTATAATAAAATAAGAAATAGTTTCATTTTTTATTTTTTTGCTGAATTTAAGTAAGATAAACATTTACTAATTTAAAAAATATATTATTCGAAATGGAATGTGTTAAAAAGAAAATAAATAATATATTCATTTTTTACCCAAAATAACCATAAGGGTATTTTTGGACCAAAGTATTGACGGGAAAGACATTTTTAGACCAAACTACAAATGGAGGGCATTTTTGTTCCTTTCGCATAGTTTAAGGGCATTTTTTACTCTTTTCCTTTTTCTTTTTTTTTATAATTGTTAATTTAATCGATAAGTCCATTTGGCACCCACAAACTCTATATCCTGGATCCGCCTCTGATTATACATATGTATTGATTGGGAAAGGGAGGAGAGAGGCGAGCGGGATTGGGAGAGGGATGAGAGAGGCGAGCAAGAGAGGACAATAATTTGTATAATTCGCATCTCGTTTGTATAATTCACAGGTACGTTTGTATAATTCACGTGTTTTTGTATAATTGGGTAATATAAAGTCTGAAATTATACAAATATAATAAAACTCGAAATAACGAATTGATACAAACATAAACGTATGAACTTTAAACAATTATACAAATTATATTATACAAAATCCAAAAACTACACGTTAATACAAACTTTAAAAAGTTATACACAAAAAGATTGAATGTATATGATAACAAAACTGAAAAACCAAAGGATATCATCGTCATATACAAATACAAATCAAACAAACAATTGTTAGCTGCGAATTATACATATGTAAACGTGGCTAATTATACAATCTCGATGTCAGCCCACGTAATTAATGTATAATGTTAGTCGCGAGTGATAATTATAGCAAACTATAGTTATGATGAGTAATTAAATAGTATGAGTTTGCTTAACCATGTAATTTTTCCTATTTTTTATGTGCTTATTTAAATGGAAAAATATATTTGTTTAAAATATTTGCGAGGTTTATAGTAATTGAATTAACCCAAGTTAATTATAAAAATATGTGAGGTACGTTTTCCACCCGGTGTTCGATATCCACATATAAAATTATGTGAGGTACGATTTCTCACTCGGTGTCCGATATCCACATTGGAGCCCGATTAAATTCGAATTCATGCCAAGAAGTCCTATATGCTCCCTAACAAACGCGATTCCTTACCCAAGAGGGCTCGAACCCAAATCCCTCTTAATTAATGATGAATGAATACTTATCACTCCACCATAATACTTATTAGTCAAACTAAACATACCAAAACAGTAAGTTGGTCGTAATGAAGGTAAAAGATAATAGAATTTTTATTGCTCGCATAATATTCGATGCGTACAAATTATATACCCGCTAAACGACGTCGTTTGTGAGATGAGATATTGTCAGTTAAGTAGTATTGCTGGATGGAGAAAAAAGAAAAAAAAAAGTAGTATTGCTGGATTGCTACATTTTCCTTAAGACTCTCAACATGATAGCTAATTCCAGCCTCATCTCTTCAAACTTCTCTACTTTACTAGTATTTCTTAGAAATCATAAACTTGCCACTAGAATTTCATTCCCAAACAGTGATAAAATCAAGAATCCACCCAAGACTCAATTTTTCAACAATTCAATCTCAGGATATGGGGTAAAGGGTCGTCTTTATGTATGTCATAGTTCATTAAATCTTCAAAATCAACAAGACCCATCTATGGAAAAAGATGTAGATGGTTCTACAGAGGAGAATGAGCTTGGTGGTGGAAGTAATAATGGAGGAAATGGAGACCAATGGGATAGGACGACGTCGTTCGTACTGTTTGGCTTGTGGTCTGGACTCATGTACTATGTTTTCTTCCTTGCTCCTAACCAGATCCCGGTATCATATCATATTCTCTTTTTATGGTTTCTTCCAGCTTAAAGTCACGTTCTTTAGTTTTTGAGCATTGTCTAGTTCCATTTTCAGTATTGTTATTTTTACTCTGGTACTATCTTAGCTTACTCTTTGATTTTACTATTACCTGTTGTTTGATTTGCTTCAGTTATCATATCTGTTCTCTTTTAGCCACTATGTTGGCTTTACATAGTTGTTTTTCTATGTTTTACTTGAGCCGAGGGTCTATCGGAACTGTCATCTCTACTTTCACAAGGTAGGGGTAAAGCTGTGAACACACCATCCTCCCAAGACCTCATTTTTGGGATTATACTGAATGTGTTATATTGTTGTTGTTAATGGTTTGTGGTTCAAAGCATTTAAGAGGCAATTGCAAGCAAATAGTTCTTGAGTGTGCTAACAAGTGATTGAAATAACAAATTATGACAAAACGCTTGTCAATAAGTACGCCTTTAAGAACATGATGCTTATTTGCTTCTCTCTTTGAAACTCTCCACTTTGTATTGTGTTTTTTCTTAGTCCTTTTAACCTTATGATTGCAGTTGACAGACATGTATTTCTTAAAAAAGCTCCTTAATTTGAAAGGAGATGATGGCTTCCAGATGAATGAAGTGCTAGTGGGACTTTGGTATATCATGGGTTTGTGGCCATTAGTTTACAGTATGCTACTCCTTCCTACCGCTAGAAGGTAACTTCTTGGGGACCTTGCTTCAGGTCATTTTTCTGGCTTGTCATCAATACTAAGCCACAGAAAAAGGATATGAGCAGTCACTTCACATTCTCCTCCTCATCGTCTCCGAGGAGACTAAAGATCTAGAACAGTTGTACAGTTCTTGATTTTTCTAGTTTGGCTCTTTTTATAATTTGACATTAAGTTGCTTGGAATGATCAAGTGCTTATGTGCAATTCAAACATTCTAGAATAATACCACATTCAAAATTGTCCAAATTTTCTTGTTTGAACTGACAAAAGATTCAGTTATCTGATATTGAACCTTTGTTTCTGCAGTTCCAAAGGCAGTATTCCTGTTTGGCCTTTTCTTGTACTTTCATGCTTTGGTGGTGCATATGTTCTCATTCCTTATTTTGCTCTCTGGAAACCACCACCTCCACCTGTTGAAGAAACTGAGCTTCAAAGGTTGCCTTTGAATTTGCTTGAATCTAAGCTAACAGCAGGGGTAAGGGATTCTTTCATTTGACAACTACGTAGCTTCTCTATGTCCTTATAAATGGGATGGAGGGGTATGTCTGAAATAGAGTAAGAATATCCAACCCTCGATGTGTCTCATGCCAAAGAATATGGGACTTAAATTTTGTTATATATAAGAATGTTAAAAATCTTCTTACAACCAAATCACATCGGAAGTAAACACAAAAGGCAAGTGAAATCTGGCAGCTTAAATGGTTCTGTATTGTATGCTTTGTAGTCAAGAGCAGAAGGTTACGGTAGACTTCAGAAAATGGATCTGAAGAGTTTTAAAATTGATGGTTGACGTATTTTTCTCTCTCCTAACTAATGATACTTCAGATCACAATGGCTGCAGGGCTAGGGATAATATTTTATGCAGGTTTATCAAGTGGAGATGTCTGGAAGGAATTTTACCAATACTTCAGAGAAAGCAGATTCGTAAGTTTCTCCTTTAATGTGTATGTTCATATGATGCAACTTTCTTTATCATGTTACTATAGATTTAGTAGTTGTATCGATGTGGTATTGTTGATCTTTGGAGTTATCAGATTATAGTGCTACACTCAGTTTCCTGCATAAACTGGTAAAGCTTGTGACATTCAAAAGAGCAATCAGTTAACTGGTCCAGAAGGCAGTTATCACACACTACGAGAATTGCTTCAACATTTCACCAGATGTGAAAGAAATTAGTTCAGTAAAATGTTCAACTTATACTAGAGTTCTGCTTGTTG